AACAAGTACAGCTATGCTATTTTTCCAAAGTGCAGAAACTGTTCAGTCACTTTTACAACTATTTTCCAACTATTTATGAAGGACAATTTAGTCATCTGTGTGGACTACTAGAGGAAATAACAATATATATACCTCTGCAACAAAATATCCATGATTTCACCCAGAGTCTACTCAGACAACAGGTGATCTGACATATCCACAGAATCACAGAATGGCTGGAAGGGACCTGAAGGACCATGAATGTCCAAACCCCCATTTAAACCTCCAGGGCCACCGATCTCCCCATTTAATACTAGACCAGGCTGCCCAGGGCCCCATCCAATCTAGGGAACACCTCTAGGGACGGGGCATCCACAACCTCAGACTGTTCCAGTACCTCACCACTCTCATAGTAAAGAACTTCCCCTTGACATCCACGCGGGATGAAAGCAAACGATGCAGAAGGACAGCAAACACTGCCTTCCATCAGCACCACAGGCCCAGTGGGGCCGAACAGGTTGGGTCCAGCGCCTGGAACCGTGCAAATCCAGGTCCGGCTACTCCTACGTGGAGCCAGGAGCTGGACTCGGTGACTCCCGTGGGTCCCTTCCAACTCGGGGTGCTGTGGTAATAACTCACCCCGCTAAACCGCAGTGAAACCAAGCAGCACATCCCGGTGCCGCCGATGGAGCGCTCCTTGCCAGCGCATCCCCGTCGGCACGAAGGCTGGCCGCAGCCCCCCTTAGCCCACGTCCCTCGGCCACCCCTCCGCCTTAAGATAACAAACCGAACCACGGCGCAAAGCCAGCCCCGCCACCGCCGCCTCACCCTCCTCCTCGTCCTGGAAGCTGAGCAGGCTGGCGCGGGGCACCTCTTTGTTCTCCCGAGCCCGCTTCTTCTCTTTAGGCCGCCCTGCGGCCGGCAGCCCGTTGCCCTGCGGCGGCGGCGGAGGCGGCGGGGGGGGCAGCAGGGAGGGAGCCGGCAGCGCCCCTAGCCCGGCCCGGTCGCCCCCCATCAGGCTCAGCCCCAGGCCGAGGGCCGCACCGTAGCCCGCGGCGCAGGCGAAGGCGGCGGGGCTGCCGGGCAGGGCGAGGGGCACGCAGCCGGGCGGCAGAGGCAGCAGCCCGGTGCCCGCGGCCGCCAGGGCCACGGCGGAGGCCTCGGCAGGCCCTTCTCCTCCGGCCCCGGAGGCCGGCGCCGGCTCCTGAGGCGGCTCCTCATCGCGCTCTTCGTCCTCCTCCTCCGAGTCGTTTCGCTTCCGCACGTTCACTCTCCGCGCCTTGCGGAACATCCCGCCGGGCGCCGACCCCCCGCGCCGCGCAGCGCCGGCACCGGCACCACCCACTTCTGCCGCCCCGCGCCGCGGCCCAGGCCCGGCTCGCCAAGCATGATGGCCGCCGCTCCGCCGCCCACAGCGCCCCCTGCCGGCTGCCGCCCGCCGCCTCCACCTCGGCAACGGACAGAAACCTCCCGACCATAGAGAGGCGGCGAAACGAGGGTAGAGCGTACCCGGCAGGAAGCGTAGAGAGCCGGGACTAGAGCGACTCGGCACGCCGCGTGCCGCTCCCTCCTCCCCTTCTTTCCTATGGGACCGCCTCTGCCGCCATCTTGTGTCGGGAAAGCGGCGCGCGGTAGAGGGGGGGAGGGGCGGGCGGGGCGCGCGGGTCCTTTGAACTTGCGGCCTGTGTGTCACTGGCCTTCTTAACAACTCCCTCCAGGTACGAATGCTGGGACCTGGGGAGGCCTCTTCATCCTTCCAGGCTCTGAGCAACCTGATGGAGCTGTAGGTGTTCCTGTTCACTGCAGGGGCGTTGGATCAGGTGGCCTTCAAAGATCGCTTCTAACTCGAACGATCTATGATCCAGTAGCCTCCATCTTGCAGCCCCTCCTCTACATGGGAGGAGACACAGAAGGCTCGGCCAGCATCCCGCAGCCCCTAAAAAAGGCTCCATTTCTATTCGTTGGCATATCCTATAATCATACACCAAGACCGAAAACCAGCAAACCAGGTTGGACTTCATGCGTAGAGAATGAAAGCACTGTATATAAATATTAGTTACTGTAAGTATGTGATGAAACACCATAAAATGATGATGCTAAGTTTGGGGTGTGATTGAACAATCTTACACTAACATTTAATGGATTCACTAAATCTAGGGCCTCAGCACAGGAAAAATGCAGAGCTTTTGGAGCAGGTCCTGATCAGAGGGCTGGAGCTCATCTCTTATGAAAGAAGGCTGAGGGAGCTGGGCTCGTTCAACCTGAAGAAGAACAGTCTCCAGTGCAACCTTGCTGCAGCCTTCCAGTGCCTAAAGGGTAACAGCAGAAGCAAGGCCAACATTTTGCACTGTCTGATGATAGAACAAGTGGGAACGGCTTTAAACTGAAAGAGGGGAGATTTAAGTTAGATGTTAGATAGTGGTGAGAAGCATCACAGGCTGACCAGAAAGGCTGTGGGTGCCCCATCCTAGAAGCACTCAAGGCCAGGTTAAATGGGACCCTGAGCTGCCTGAGTTGGTGGGGGGGCAGCTCTGTCATTATCAGGGTTTGGAACCAGATGATCTTTATGGTTCCTTCCAACCTAAGCCATTCTATAATTCTACAAAATTATGTAATTATTTCAGCAGTGTGATAATGTACCGTTGCAGTTTGTCCAGATGCAGAGAAAAGAAACCTCTGCCAACAGAATTAATAAAGCTCACACGGTATGCATTATGTACTTTTCTTTGTATTTAACTCTTTGAATTGCTATGAAGAAATTCTGTAAGCTTCTAAAGTGGTGCTTTCATATGGCAAAACCAGATCAAATGTAAATTGGGAGAATCAGATTCTTCGTATCTGTTGGAAAGAATGTATGAACTGCAAAGATCAATGCAATATTGGTGCTGTGGATTTCTGCCAATCATGTAAGTGAAAGCAGGATTTTCCCTGACTCCTTGAAGATTTCTGTTTACTTGTACACAGGAGCATGACGTCTTTTATTTGATCATTATTCAGAACACAGCTGTGGCAAGAGTAATCAAAACTTTAATTTACAGCATTAAAAAGCACACAGATCTATTAATGTGATTTCTTCCCAAGAAAGCCAGAATACATATGTCCTCAGTTTCTGCTCTGTGTGTGGATTTTAAGCAGTAACCTCAGCAATCATTGCTGCCCTGGCAATATAGTACTGTGTTACTGTGTTATTCAGCACATTTTTTACTAGAGGGCAGCAGAGCATCAGTGAATTCACCGAAAAAGATTTAGGCTTGATTTTTAAGAGAGGATTAATAACATTTAGAAATCAATATATTATGTGTATTTTTTAACAAGAGTATCCTGTGCAGAGTTAATGACCAGCCAGTTTGTGAAGGCAATGTTAGTAGTTTTGCACAGACAGGATGATTTATATTCTTCTATAATCCATACCAGGCAAATACATGCTTAGAACAACACCCCTGCTCCTAACCTCTGTCACCTCAGTTTCAGCTCCTAACCATGTTGTAACTTGTGACAAAACCATGGAGTGTTCACAAGTAATATTTTTCATTTGTGGAAAAAAACTTTCAATTTGTTTTCATGGTGCTGATAAATGACAAAAGTCTGTACAATACCTGATTGAATAGCTCTCTGAGTTAAATTGAGTTCACTTCTCATCCCATAAACACCAGCGTCTTTAAATCTTTAAAATTGTAAATTTGCAATTTACGATTGCAAATAGATCTGATTGCCCTAATAGTTATTACACTGTTGATTTCAGTGGCAAAACCTGCAGTAATGAAGTGTATGTAAAAAAAAAATTGAGTTGTGTTGCCTAGGAAAACTGCTCCGCCATTGATTACAGTTATGGGCAAGGCTTAGTTTAAAGTTATTGAAACAAATCTGTTGGTTCCTCAGAATCTTAACAACTGTTCCCTCCAGTACATGTATTTTATCCCAGATCAAGAGAAAAAAATATATATATGTAATCCTTTGCTGGCAGTGCAATTCTGCTTGGACTTTAGTATACTATACAAATTAATTCCAGCCTTAATTGTGTCTCACAGAATGTAAATCCTGCAGACGTGGGCAAGGAGTAGACTTTTGGCTATCAACATTTCCTGACGTTTTTCAGCGAGTGGCAATCTTTCTCACACAGTGCAGCTGATACCTGTCTGCCTGAAGCCTTGCCATACTTATCAGATGAGTCACAGGATGGTTTATTTTCTCCTTTTCTTAGAGAGGAGAGTTTACTGTTAGCACAAAAGATGAAATCAACTTTGTTGTATTTGGGGAAAGGAGCCATCGATGGGAAAAACACCTTTATAATCCTGGTATTTCGCGGGCTGACCTCTTGCCCAGCTCTTTCCCATGATGAATAGAGAATGAGAGTACCCTGCTACATGACTGGGCATCCTCCATCACATACTGAAAACCCAGCCCACCATACTTGCAGTCAAAACGGATTGCTGGCCATCTCACAAATGCGCTGTTGGTTATGCTGAGGTGGGAAGCAGACCGCAAAGCTGCCTTTGCTGTCCTAAGAGGCTCTGTCACCCAGGCTGGTCATGGGAATCCCAGCTCTGACAACTCAGCAGAAGGCAAGGAAAACCAGCACTCTCGGTTTTTCTCTGCTTAACCACCTCAAATCGTAGAATCGTAGAATCATAGAATCTTAGAATCACAGGCTTGGGTTAGAAGGGACCTCAAGGATCATCAACCTCCAGCTCCCCTACCACAGGCAGGGCCACCCACATCCGCATTTAATTCTAGACCAGGCTGTCCAGGGCCCCATCCAACCTGGCCTTGAACACCTCCAGGGATGGGTATCGACAACGTATCTGGGCAGACTGTTCCAAATGCCTCAAACCTCACAGCACAGGGGTGAGGCCAGTGAGGGATTATTCTCCCTGTGTGCAGAGTACTACTGGCAATTTTGGCCTCCCTTATTGGAAGAAAAGTATTCATCAACCTGAGTGTGCCCAGTGGAGAGCGACCAAGATTGTCAGGGGACAGAGCATGTGTTCAGTTCTTAGATTACAATATAAAAGATTTATAGTGATCCTTTCACCTTGTTTCATGTGTTCTTTGTTCTTTAAGGAAGTGTTTATTGAGTTAGTCAGATGAGTCTGTATTACTTCAAATGCCTGCTTGTAGAGTACACAGTCAAAACTTTTCATCCCATAATGGCTCCTTCGGGCCAAACCAAACAGGCCCATCTCTCTCTCAGCAGTTTGCCATGCCTTTGGCTGACGGTGCTAGAGAACTCAGTAAATGAATGTTACAACATAGCTTTTGTTATCTGAGGTTGAGAAAACACTGGAGTACAGCAGGTTGTGAAAGTGCTCCGTGATGCTAGAGACATTTTCCACACTGTACGACTTCAGCAAAGAATATCCATTGAAAAGAGAGGTATCCAGAAAAGAAATATATACTAACATTTGCCTGTCTTTGTTGTGCATTGTGAGTAGATCATCTTTTTCATTCTTGCTGCTACTGTAGATGGTTACGCTTTGCTCTGGAAATTGTCCCTTAACCTTATTTTTTACCCGCAGCTTTCTCAATCCCCAAATGGTCAAGTATTCTGTTGGTAGAGGAGTAGTGCCACAGAAAGAGAGCTTCAAATCCCACACCATTGTGAAGTTGAGGAGCATCTCCAGCACAGAGGTGTCTGTGAACCAAATTGTCAGGTCGCTATTGTAGTCAGTTTTTTCCATGGTAGAAGGCAGCACTGTTCTGCAATTGCATAACAGGTTTGCCAGGCTGTAGTCACAGTCACGGATATCTGCCAAGCAACTGCAGTTGCGAATATTGCTTTCCTTGGTGAAAATTAGTGTATGGTTCTTCTGATTTCCCATAAAACTGTCAGTAATGCATATGCCAAGGAAGCCAGCCAAAAAGAGAGCCAGCCAAAAACAGAAAGTAGAGAAGGCTGTTAGCTTCATTAGTACTGGTGCCAAGATGCCACGTGTCTTCTCCTTTTACACAGTGGATTTTATCGCTTGTCTTTACCTACTGAAAGAAAACAATTTCTTTATTATACTGAAGACACTGAAGTGTTAATACTGCTTTGCTCTTCTCATTTATTATCAGAAGCACTGCTGGATGCAGCATGTATCCTTCAGAGCCATGGGGAGCCAACTTATTGCCATAAAACTTGCTTTTTGTCCATGTAAAGCTACATCATTTCCAGCCTTAACCTGTAAGTTTTGAGATGCAAGGACCATCTCTCACAGTCTCCGCATGGCAACCAGTATAGAACAGATTCTGATTGCTCTGGCTCCCTTCATTTACCCTGGTAAATCAAAGTAGCACTTGCAGGAATGCCGTGGACCATTGAGCAATTTTCCATCCAACCATGGTCCACCTCAAATGGTTGGGGGCAGGACTGGTGAGACTTCTCAGCAACAAGCCCTTGGGTTTTCAGAGCAGTGTTGGATGTTAACAAACACATTTGGCATATTATTGAATGATGGTGCAAGCACAGATGAAAAATGGTATTTCTCAACAAAAAAAATTACAAAATGTTACAAATGTTGGTTTGATTTGTCTGTAACTATTTTGAACCACCAAGCAACGGTAGACCCAAATTTTGACTAAAGGCAGCAGGTTCTAGTGAGGGCAACAGTAGGGCATGCAGTGGAAGGAATTTTGGTCCTTAGAATGTGTGAAGACTGCTCCATGTCCAGAATGTGTGTCCAACACTTCAGAAGACATAGCAATGCAACTACAATTGTGGAAAAGACATACCAGATAAATAGGAAAATAATAGTATTTGTAATGAAAATATGAATTGTTTTGCTTCTAATATCCAGTCTCCCATCATTAGGCAATGAAGTCGTCTGCTAAAACTTAATGGTAATTTAACAGAAAATAAAGGGAAAATTTGCAATTTGGATTTGAATGTTTTAAGCTGCTGAAAATTCAACCGAGGTTATTCTTTCATTAATATTAAACAAATAGATACATAATTGCATTTTGACCAAATAATTTGTGTCCTACTTTCCACATTTTTCATTTATAGAGGATACAGTACTTGAATCAACAGAAAATCATGATTTGCAAATGGCCAGAACTTTGGCATCTATAGAAAAAAGAAGAAAAAGGAACATGCACATGTAGGAAAAAAAAATGGCAGTAAGGAATAATGGACTTTGGGCTGGACATTACCAGCTGATCCTCTATGGGACTGAGATCTTTAGTTTGTGATAGACACCTGCATGAAAAAAAACAGCAGCTAAAAAGTAATTAAATTTCTAAGTAGTAGTAGGAAAGTATAGGGAAAAAAGACAATGTTGTTGATCTTCTGCATAAATCTTTTGCTCACACTTGCCTGTTGTATGCAGTTCAGATCCCACTATTTTGGAAAGGATGCCACATGCCTGGAGTTGGAGAAGAGCAAGAAGGACAATGAGATATAGAAGGGCTTCCCTTTAAGTAGGATGGAACTAGCCAGTAAAAGAGGTGGCTGAAAAAGGATATAATGGTAAACTGCAACAGCACAAATAACATGAGGATAGTGTGTAGAGATCAATTGTTTTTTGATTTTTTGAGGCACAAGAGTGAGACATCTGCCAGACACACTAGGAGGTGGCTACATGACTAGACAGATTTTTGGCCTGACAGATTATGGTTCTCTTATGCATTCTTATATATTCTTGTGTAGTGTAAATGTAAGCAAACTGACTCAAACATGATTTCATTCCATATGTGCTCCTTGAATGTAGCACATTGTATTCTTAAAAGAAGAATACAGACATTTTAATGTTTAAATCAATTATTTAACTCACATTCCTCAGACTTATTGCAGAACATACCAGAAATACCAATCCAACTGTTAGCTAACGTTTAACTTCAAAGGTCAGACACATCCAAGCTGCAACTGTTCTGGTATCCTCGCTGCCAGATGAATTTGATACCCAGCATCTAAGCCTCTAAGCATAGAATGTGTTGAAAATCCTATTTAGTAAAACTTCACATTGTGTTTGCTCAGCTCTTCAGCTATGGCTCACAGTTAGGATAAAATAAATCGCAGATCTGTAATATCAACACTTTCACAAGTCAATAAAATTATTGGGATTTATCTATTCCAGAAAAGTATTTGCCAGGAGAACATCTAGGCAAAGTTAACAGTATGAGTGCAAATTAAGTAAACATAATTTTAACTGAAGACTCGGAAATTAAAATGACAATACATTTTCACACTAGAAATGACTGAACTTGTTCATTAAGCAATTGCAGAGAGGTATGTGATAAACACACTTTGATTAAAACACAAAGTGGCTCTGTAGCCTAAGTGTAGTATGAGCAATAGGAGTTCTGTGCTGCTGCTGGAAGTTTGTTTTGAACTTTCTAGTAGTGAAGTCTAGAGCTGTGCAAAGCTGCAAGATAAACTCCAGCAGCAGAGGTACCACCATGGCTTCTTCTTTTAGTCCAACGCAGCAAAGAGGCAGTGTCCAAACTGACGGTGGTTTATTCAAACAAAGTAGCTTATGCATGGCAGTACTGACTTAACAGCATCTCAAACAACCATGTTTGCAATGAGGGGTAGGTGGGGCACTATCACAAGCCCTTCACCCAACTGCACTGTTGCTTTTTTGAAGTTAGCTTTATACAGTCAGCTGACAATTAGACAGTGTTCTAAAATTATATGCTTTAATTGTAATGTTTTTGTAATATCTTTTATAAGTGGCTGGTCATCTGTTACAGCTGCCACCTCCAACAAATCCACTCCTATCTTGGTGAATTGGATAACATAATTCCTGCTTTCTTTCTTTTCCATCCTTACATTGTCTCGTTTGGGAAATACAATTGGAAGTGGAAGAAAAATAGGCAAATAACACAGCAGGTAAACAGCTATCAAGTCATATTACCCAAACTTGCCATCCAGAGTGACAGATAGATAAGCAATTAGTGTTTGAGAATGAAGTGAAAAATTAAATCAGCATGTGAGAAAAACTGAAGTTAATAAAAAACTGCCTCAAGTATCATTTAGACTGCAGGATCCCAGAGGTCCTTCTTTATGCCTGTTTTTTCTCCTAAACATTCACCCAGCTTCATGAAGCAATGGCAGAGTATCATTACCCCATTAGAATTCCTGGTGCTTGGTCCAGTTCTCTTCCAAACAGCTGACAGTGTTTCTCTATGGTAACCTGCCTATTCCTGCATTAAAACACCTCAAAAATGTTTTGAAGTGTAGATTTTGGCTGGAAGAGAGCTCAAAGCCCACGCCACCCCAACCCCTGCCATGCACAGGACTGCCCCCCACCAGCTCAGCTGCCCAGGGCCCCATCCAACCTGGCCTTGAATGCCTCCAGGGATGGGGCACCACAGCTTCTCTGGGCAGCTGTGCCAGCGCCTCACCGCCCAAAGGTGGTTTTCTGAATTCCACAGCCAGCTACCATCCTGTTTTTCTCTTAGACTCATCTAGAAAAGTGTACAGTGCCCCTACCTCTGAGCACAGCCTCAGCCGATGCATGTGGAAAGCACAGCAGTCTGTATGTTCAGTAATGCAAAAACTGGAAGAAAATGAGGCCCGGCACATGCAGCATGTCCTCCAGCCTGGCTGCAGTGGGGAAGGAAGTTCTTCTCCTGAGCTGGGTTCTTTGCTAAGTGGCAAACACAAGTTGTGATGGTTTTAGGAAAGCGTCACATGCTGGAGATAGCAGCAACCTGATTCTGAAGAAAAATGTCCTCGAATGATCTGAACTCAGCTGGTCATCTGTTCATTTTTGCCCTGCTCAGGGGGCCTTTTAAGTGAAAATTGGATTAGACACAGATACTGGAAGAAAACAGTTCTGGTGTGATTGCTTGAACCATGAATACTGTTCCTTGTATATCATCTTTCCAGCACCAAACCCCATTTCATAGCACATTATCCCCAAAGTTTCCTGGCACAAGATTCCACCCCCACCTTTTTTCTTTACAGATTCAGATAGCTACAGGACATTTCCAACACCTACTTAGTAATAATGTCATTTCAGGTTTCTCAATTTGCTTTGATCTTTCCAGTAATTTTTTATTTTTTTTTATTTTTTTTTATTTTATTTTATTTTATTTTATTTTATTTTATTTTATTTTATTTTATTTTATTTTTTGCTAATTGCAGATCCTGTGTATGAAGAAAACTGCAAAAAAGCAATAAAAAGCCTGTGACTGTTGTGTGAGAATACTACTGTCTCAAGGAAAGTTAATCCTATTCAATGGGAGTCCCCAGCCTATACAATTAATTTCTTCATGGGGTGCTTTCTTCCATTCTCTATTCAGAAAAAAAAAACTAATTAAAACCCTTCATTGATTACTTGTGTTAGCATGTGCCTGTGTGAAAGTGCTGTATTAAGCAAAGAGGAGCTTAAATCCATATAATCTTGTGCAGCTTGGGCAACGTACACAGAATGAATACCAAAACCACCCAATTTAGACCAAAATAACATGAAAGACTGGATAAAGCCCAAAGCATTTAGAAGGAGAGCAGTGAGGACTGCCTTTCTGTTTTCGTGTTTGCATGCAGGTATGAGAGGGCCATGTAGAATACATTGCATTTCACAGCTCAGGTGGTATTGAGGAGGTGGGTAGAGCAGCAGTAAGAGCTGACATCCTGCACACTTCTGGACTGCAGCATGGACCATGCTTGTTCCTCATTACTTGAACATGGTTTCTTCCTTTACCCGTACAACAAAAGCCTGAGCTGCTGTCATTGGGCTGAGCAGTCACTGCTGTCATGGAGGTGCTGTCACACATAGGGGAACAAATTCCTTCCTAGCTGTGATAGAAATGCAAGATAAATCAGGCAGTTCTACTGCATTGAACCCAAACAATGCATAACCCTCAGACATCTTGAACAGCTGTATGTATCCCTGCTTCAGTATTAGGCTGGAATAGATTAATTCCAGAAGTCACAGAATTGTTTCAGATGGGAAACGCTTAAAGGCCGTCTGGTCCAACT